ACCACCAATCAATAATTTATTTAATCAATTACCCTTCGTTGTGCTAATCTAATTCCTGACGGCACCTCCGGAATCAGGCTCTCAATGAGGAATTCACTAGCATATACGACATTCTGAAACAATAGACAATAGCTCTGGATAATATATCTAACAATGACTTAGGAGCTGCACCTCATTCATCGGTAATCATTTTCAGGGAAGTTAAAAATGTAGTAAACTAACAAAACGAATTGAAAACGTGGCGATGCAAACCTGAAAGATCAACGCAATCAACAATCGGGTTCTTGTGTTGCACTCGACTTGAGTTAGCGGTGATGACACCAAATCATCACAAAAGTCTGATGTGAATGCCACTGAAATTTCAACTCTATTAAGGCTCATTGCATTTCAAGTTCAATCAAAAATTTCAAAGTTTATTCAACAGTTCAGTTGCATCCACGGCTCTTCGAACCCGCATTTCAAATTGTAAGCCGAAAAGATTTATCATTGTATTTCAAAGTGTATTTTTTTCAGACAAAAANCATTTGTATTTGGTGTAATTTTCTGTATTTTTAAAAGACGGTACTTGTCATATTTTGTACGGTAAAATTGTATTTTCAAATTGTGGTTCAAAAAAAGACGGCTGTCTTTTTCGAGAGGCGTTCAACTAGTGAAATTTATGAAACTTGTGCCAAACTCGTGTATTGTATCTCGAGTATCATTATCAGTTTCGAAATGAAAATGACTTGTTTTGGTTGACGATTCATAGATACTTCCTGCTATCCAGCATTCATTTTTTAGCAGTTTTTCTCTTGCTCTCCATCTAGCATTCAAGTCTTTGGCAGTAGACTCAAAATGTGGTTCGATTTTCATTGATTTTGAAAACGTTCCTCCAAAACAAAACACAGACATCTCTCAGCAATAATTAGGTAATAGTAGTGAAAGATTTGGAGATAAACCGATGAATGTGTTTGTAATAACGGCGATATACTGAAGGAAGTTGATAATTGCCTTCCAAATACCAATCGAGTTAGCAATGAATGCCACTGGACGACGATTGAACCACGTTAGACGTCGTGCGTCGATTCGTATATCACAAAGACCGATTACCAAAGCAATCAACGGTGCCAACGGAAATAATGGTGCAAACATCTACAACAAATTGTAAACACCCTTTCATTCTCATATAATCTTTCATCTATCACCATATAATCCTTAAGTTTTTCCTCATAATTAAATAACTGGACCTTAATTGCTAAAGTTCCTTCCGTAGAGCACTTCAAACAAATTGTGCAAATGAACTATCATTACATTTTGCCGTTAGATTTTTACTCAAGAGTCTTTTTTGCTCAAGAGTTTTGGCGTTAAATTTGTAAAATTCTTCAATCGACAAATGAATTTCGTTGGCAGTATTGGAATCTGTTTGATCAAGCATACAGTTTTCAACGATCATTCTGTCGTCCTTACAATAATCAGTTGGAATGATCTCAAATAAACGTTTCATTCGAGGATCATGCAAATCGAACTCTGCAAGTACCATGATTGATCCAAACTGAAGTATTTTCTCCATGTATTCACCAAGCGTAAAGTCACCGACATCTGGTTTCATCCACTCACGAACCAGACGATTACTTTCCTGCTCTTCATCCACACCAAATGATCTCCGTGATTGTTGCTCACTTCCATTTTCGCTAATCGCAGCTATTTTACGATTCCATCGCAGTCTCCGCAGTAATCTCAGCAAATATCTACGATTCAATGAGCATATCAAATTCATTTTTTTCTATACATACTCTCAAAATCTTTTTAAAATTCCAGCAGCGATACTCTGTGCGAAATAGACAAGATGAATAAAATTAGTCGATGTGCATTCAACAATCGTGGGCTTCGTTGTGCAGGCGTACCGATGTCATGTAAAGCTTTTAGTCTGTGTCGACTCAAACCGGTCAAACAATCGTTCATGATATTGTCAGCGACAGTAAGTTTTAGGCTTGGGAATGTAGACCTAGGAGGATACAGCATGTTGATGTGCTTCTGAAAGCCGCTCTGTGATTCTTTTGGAGTGGATTGTTCGATCAAAGAAACAAAATGATCAATCAAATACATACGGTAGAACAATATCTTGGCAAAATTTCGGAATCGGTTTGATAATCATATGTGACAGCAATTGAAGTGCTAGCAATGAGCCACAAGTGCCGTAATCGCAAGTATCTTTATAATCGGCACCGAAACCGAACAGACCGTTCTTTTGAAGACCCTAAATCATATTGGCATCATCCTCAAAGTCATTTGATTTTGTTCAACACATCATAAAATATTGTACGATATGATTTCAACTTCAGCCTACCTTTTTAGTTCCTATTGTCAGTACGGCAAAAAAAACTTACATAATATTCAGGACGAATGAATGCCAAATAGAAGAGTGAAGTGTAGGTATTGACGAACTGGAACGCAAATCGCTTGACGATTAACGCGTTATTGTATTCTGAATTCGTGCGATGGTTTTCTAAAAGAAACAATTCACTTGATTCGAAAGAGGGAAGGTGCCATAACAGCTTGCATAGAAGTTTGATAAGGTGTTTTTGTTTTGTTGCGAGTCGTTTAGGACATTCTCGTTCAAAAAATAAAGCAACTTCAATGCAAAGTAAATCCATTTAGCCATGAAATTGATAGACTCCAAGTGAACAGGTGAAAAAACATTGAGTCTCAGATCTATTTTTGCAAATTAATCCATCGATTCGAGTCAAACGATCTTTGAAATCATAGCAGGACGAGTGAAATCGAAACTTAACCCCAAAACGTCAGCTTATCAGCAATAGTCGTATAAATGCTGCCAAGTATCATTGTAGAGACAGTGTTCATTATAGACGGTAGCACTGATACCATCAAAATGCATATTAAATTAGACTAAAATTTGAAAATTACTTTCATCAATTCATTCAAATGATTGATNCACGCGGATCCATGAGATTTTAGAGGTGCGATAAGCGAATTAGCTCAAATAACGACTCATGAACATGAATAACATCGATTGGAAGTAATAATTTTTTGAGAAAGCAATTAACATGCTGCTCTCTTCAAGAAGTGGATAGAGGAATTTCGTTTCACATGAAGAATTTTTCCTTGATAAAATTACGTTATTCGCGCGATTACAACCGAATTGACTGGCTGCAAACAGTTTATAGAGTATCACTGCGATGACACTGGCAATAGCCACAAGCATGCACATAAAAACGATTAGGGCCGATACAATCAGCTTGCAGTAGCGACGTGACATCGGATAGATCCATTCGTCTTGACCTGTTATTGGATCCTGAAGTGGTTATCTTTTAAAACGAAAATGTCTCCCACGAGATCTCTTATATGAAGATTGGATGAAGAGTGAGTTCGCAATCCCTCTAAATTTCGAGTTGGTTTGGGTATTTTTCGGTATTTAATGCGGTCAGGAGCATTCAGATTTGAAGCAAGTTAAGAAACCTTGACTTAATCATTGTAAAACCAACGATATTATTTTTACAATAGACATAGCCCTATTAAGCTTCGTCAGAAAATTTATTCATATTTCACGATGTTAGTTCCTATTATTATCTAGGAAGATTCCGACATTCTAATCACGAAACAGTCTCAAGAGCAGTTCATTGTGGCGAATTAATCTGAGCAGATCAACAACTGATTGCTTCTCCGCTTATCGTTTCTCAAACACAACGGCAACATCCTCAAGATGGATCGTACCTTCTCTTTCTGCGTACCAAAGAACTGCGGTCTATCGGGTTCCGATACAACGTAATCATTTGCATCCCACTGATAGGCTAGAACTGATCTGTTGCGATTCCACACTTGTGAGAAAATTTTTCCTGCAAAATTGGACGTATTTTTAGGATGCTGTTGAATTCAGGGAGTGTAATCACAGCAAACATCGTGTGAAATTGTGCGTGAATCAGTTAATAGTGCAGATTGAAGAGTGGGATAGGAGTAATTCGAATAAAATAATCATGCGTTGTTTTTAGGCGTAAAATCACTACTGCGAACGCTTAATAAAGTTTCGATCCATATGACTAGCAATGATTTCAATCGCACAATTCGAAACGTGTTCTTTGCTTGATTTGATATGAACAATAGGAAATTAACAGTTTCAAAAGGTTCTAATTTGTGAATTTTTTNTTTTTTGCATCTGAAGAGTCGATGTTGATGAGGAGAGATGTGACAGTTTAATTAAGCATGCACATTTGAGGAAGTCGAAAGAATGCTGCAGTGAAAGCGAACAGAACATTTTCACGCATTAAAAGAGCATCCAATACTTGGAATAATCGTACGAAAACAAACCCCAAATCGAGATGAAAACTGCAAAAACCGGATTCAACGCATTATCGAACGCTTTCAGACACAAGTCTGCGATTTGATGTAAACTGAAAATTCTCTTTTCGAATTTAAACATTTCGACTTTTCATCTGCTTCATAACCGAAAATTCGTCAATCTTTTTCGTCGAATTTGAAATTTTTTAAATTTGTGAAACATTCGACTGATCGTAATCATAAACATGAACGTGGCCGTGGAAGATCCGATGAAGATAAATCATTAAAACAAAATACTTCTCAGTTATAGTGCACGCGTCCTTTTTTTCTTGTCCAAAATTATCTTTTCTTACACAAACATCGAAATTGGTTCGATTCACCATAACACTGAAATTTTTTTCGGATTCACTCTACAACAGTTTTCCTGATAGCAAACTGGATTTTAAAACTGTGCTATTAGAATATACCTGTGATATAGCCCATAAGCAAAACATAAAAGACCAGCTACAGCTGCGGGCCAAAGTGCCGTCAGGAATGTGCCCTCCCATGCGAAATAGAATGTGATCTTTTCACCGAAATATTCACGGATCCTATGAATCGGTTGAAATTTATAGAACGGTATCCACTGCTTGCTGAGCACCTTCCGTGGATCACATCTCAACCCTTCGACGAATTCTGTGTATTCAATGTAATTCCGCTCACGCATTTTCCGGTAATACGGCTCATCCTGAACAATATCATTTAGGCACGATTGGTTAAAAACCTGTGATAATGCATGATCAGAGCTCAAACTCAGGCGATATAAGTGGGGGGAATACAGTCGCAACTTCATTTAATACACTGAAATACTCAGCTGAGCTTAGGCCAAATCTATGTAGTATGGTTTGAATTTGATGGGTAATAAAATACACAGTCAATATTAAGTTATAATGAAAGTTATGGTAAATAACGGTGATTTCTTGTTATGGCTTTAAACTGATTGTGAGAAGTTGAAGGTCAGAAGAATACCACTGTTAATGTGCACTTAAAATTTGACATAGGTGATCATAATGCGAAGGTTTGGCTGATAATCTCGCTCGTTTAGTTGAAGGAGTTGTGCGAGGTGAACAAACCTGAGAAGGATCATGCAATATGAACGTATCTGAATATGCTCCTTTCATGGCCAAATAAAGCAATCCCCGTTTTTTGAATTCAATTTCCTCATCACTATCCTCTGCATTGATCGTTTTACTTATATCAATTTCAATTAAGATCTGCAAAAGGTTTTGATTTCGTCGTCAAATAACATTACGAGTGAAGTGATAGAGTAACAAATTCAGCATTCTCATGGATTGCTTTGTGCCATATTTGCTGTTCTGCATTCAAATTAGGACAGTGTGACCATAAAGGAGGCAATAAGGCGTTACTGTAGATGAAATGTTCACAGATGTTGGCAGGCATTTAACTATTCATATTCTGAATTGAGTGAACGAGAGATTTTCATTTGATGGTGAAACTGAAGATTCTCAAAACATTGTTGTCCACAATACATTACATTAGAATGGAGTTCTTCAGTCAGCAAGCACTACAAATATGTTCGTTAAATATAATTCTTAAATGCAGATTGAATATTCTGCTATGCATTCAACTACTCGTAAAACTGACCTGATGAACCAGCAATGAGCGTAGTGCTGTTCGAAAAAACTTCAGTGGGTCATCATAGTTCACGAATAGGTGCGATATTTTCCTTTGAAATGGCTGACTTATGTAGTCAACTGAAACAACGCATCAATTATGGCATTACTTTCGAGCGAAGAGGAACTAAATTTAAGTAGATCCGAGATGTTTATGAAAAGAAGCCAGAGGTCAAATGAAATGATCAGTAACGTTGCCTTGGTCATCAGTGATGAAATATTTCGACAATGATATACAACATGTCGGCTGAGCCGGCTCCACAGTGCACTGCAATTGAAGTTGCTTTAATTTTTATTGTAAACCAAAAATACTTTGGAAGAACATCAGAATCTATTGATGAAAGTGATTTCCTGAAAGAAAATCCATCAAATTACTCTCTAAATGTAAGAAGCATTTGTGAAGAATCGTATACCCCTTTAATGGGCATATTCAGCCCGCATCGTTCAGCCTCTGCACAGAGCCTGTCGAATGGAGCTGAGATCGCAACGAAACACATACCACCAACAAGTTCACGATTCAGCAACAATCCAGCTCTCAGAATTGCCTTCAAATCAAGTACTTCATCTTGCAAGCATTTGCAAGCATTTTCTCTGAATTCTTCATTCCAATGGGTGATTCCATCCGCTTGCAAGTAAAACTAAATTCAATCTTCAGAATTTCCGAAGAAGTTTCAAAGGGCACTCATTGGAAGAAAATTTTTCTAACATCTTCAAACATTGACACAATTGACATATTTTCAACATGGATGAATCGAACTCGAGAAAAATAAAGGCATTAAAATAAAATATGCTACAAATCCCTGCGATCTAGCGGTAGCTTGAAATGATCTCCTTGTGGTACCATCAAAGTCGTAAGTAATGAACACCATTCGGTTCTTTTTCGCTTACCTCTTCAAATGCTTTTCTCACCGCATCACATTCTTTATCATTCACCTTGTAGGCAAGTACATAATCAATCGGCAGTGACGACTTATTTCTCGAGACTGACATTCCGGCAGTTTAGGTGATGAAAGAATAAAATACCTCAGGGGATATCAATCAAAATTTGACTAATAACATCACATCGTTGCCATACTGCAATGGCGAAAACATATTGTTTCATAATAAAATTTCATTGAAATGCGAACTATGCTATCGATTCCGTGTCATTCCGTTCCAATAATTAGTAATTGAATTGGTTCATCGCGTTGCTATCGTTACATAGCTTAAGAGATATTCAGTGTCACGACTGATAGTGATTCAATTGTTACAGGGCATTATTGAGACTCATATCAGTAAGATATCACAGATCGATATGTTCCTTTCAAACCCATTGAATTGTTCATTCACACATATTTAGGGTGAAGGGTGGTGATTTGATTATTTTCGAAACTGAAACGGCTTATATGGACAGTTTTGTGAACATATACGGGATTTATGTGAAGATAGCTTTTTTCGCTAGCGATTTCTTCGAATGTGCGATTATTCAAGTGTTGACGATATCTTGAAGCGACTTTTCTGTTGATGAATTGTGTGACCAATCCAACTTTAACGAGCATTCGCAATTAGCATCAAGGAATGGACATGAGTCATACTTTACAAAAAGTTTGAGCTGAGGTTTCGGGTTTTGGTTGACTCCAATTTAATTTGATACATTCGATCATTTAGCTTGAAGTTCGCGAAATAATTTTTAAGTTTCAGTATTGGTTTATTTATTCTGTGTTTATACTAATCGGTTTATCCGGTATTGAAATATTCGAGTATATCACATCAATTATTTTAGCAATATTTTAATGTGCATCGTTTGAGTTCAGTTTCTTCCATCCGACTCGACCTTCGTGAAACTCAACTGGACCAAATACGAGCAATTGCGGTAATGGGAATGTGGTAAAGAGCTGGAATATCTACGAAGAATATTGAAGTCGGTGTGTACCATCAGTTATACAAAGCAAAAATCGAGAACCAGCTGCACTGCTGATGTCATTTATTCGTGATCATTATTCACTGTTGATTTGCTGATATAGTCCCTGATCGACGTTCATCTTTCTCACATGCAGAAGTATGAGCGACTCGAGAAAATTGGTGAAGGTTAGACCTAGTTGTATTTCTTCTTTTCGAGTTTTTCTGACTAATTTCATTGGTTATTCTTTCCAGTTTAGTTATTGGCATTTCTGATCAACTCATCAGATTTAATACTTCATTTCCCGATTTTATCTTATCAATCGTGTAATAGTGAAATTCTAGGTACGTATGGTACCGTTTTCAAGGCAAAAAATCGTGAAACGCAAGAGATTGTTGCGTTAAAGAGGGTTCGGCTAGACGATGACGATGAAGTGAGTTGTTTTTCTCGAATATGAGATGTTTTTGAGTCGGGAAATGCCATGTAAATTGTTGACACGGAATTTAAAAAATATTTGAGTTGAGATTGAAGTGAACTTCAGGGAGTTCCAAGTTCGGCGTTACGTGAGATCTGCTTGCTAAAAGAGTTGAAACACGAGAACATCGTACGCTTGTATGATGTTGTTCATAGTGAACGTAAACTGACGTTGGTTTTCGAATATTGCGATCAAGATCTGAAGAAATATTTCGATTCCTGTAATGGCGATATTGATCAACATGTAAGGAACTTTGTTTTTGAGTTCCATCCTGATTTTATAATTGTTCTCTTATTCATAACCGAAACATTCAAATTGTTTGCTTGTTAACCCAGTAACTTTCAACAATTCGATAACCCTCATAGCTTCAATAATCCAGTAATCGTGATAGATCCATTGATTATATGAGTACTTCAGTCACGGCTACTACCGTAGATGATCAAAATGTGGAGATTGAAATGAATTTATTTGGATTTTGTGCCTCATTTATTTTTGTCAACAACAGTTTTGTGAGAACATCATATAAATTGAGCTGTTTCCAAAAAATTTACTCGTCATTTTCAGATAGTGAAATCGTTGATGTATCAGTTGCTTCGTGGGTTGGCGTTTTGTCATGCTCACAATGTTTTGCATAGGGATTTGAAGCCACAAAACCTGTTGATCAACAATAATATGCAATTGAAGTTAGCCGATTTCGGATTAGCGCGTGCGTTTGGTATTCCTGTCCGATGCTACAGTGCTGAGGTTCGTTTTCGTGATCTTTTAATCCTGAAATTGAATTCCTTTCTTTCTGTATGGATGTAAGACGGTGGAATACAACATGCAATTTTTTGGAAAGCAAAAACTTTTCCAGTCTTGAAGATTGCCTTATGGCTCATATCGAATCCATGCTCGAAACATTCTACAAAGTTGTGATTTCATGGAACAGCTCTCCTCTGTCTTGATAATGAATCTGTTTGTGAACGTGCTGATTCGTACAGATGAATTCTTTTTTTACCACGTTTGCATATTTCACGGTTTTTTGGAATTGCAGGTTGTTACTTTATGGTATCGTCCACCAGATGTACTCTTTGGAGCCAAATTATACAACACTTCGATTGATATGTGGTCGGCTGGATGCATTTTTGCTGGTCTGTCTTTTTTCAGTAAACATTTTGGTCTGGTTCTAAGCCATATTCATGAGTTTTAATGAAAGTTATTTTTCTCAATGAATTTGCTCTATTCTTGAAACGAATGCACGTAAATAAACAGAACATTCTACGGATTGTATTGATTAGGAAATTGTGTGTTCAGAAATTGCAAATGCTGGACGACCATTATTTCCGGGTGCTGACGTTGATGATCAGCTTAAAAGAATATTCAAAATGCTAGGAACTCCTACAGACGAAACATGGCCTTCCCTGTCGCAGTTGCCTGATTTCAAGGTTGCAGTCTTGATATGCTCATGCTTATTTTTCAGTGATTGCATTCAGTGCTGTTCAGTTGACACATAAATAGTCATTCTTTTTGCGTCCATTGTAATGCCACTGATTAACTGAAATGTTTTGTTCATGTTAAATCTGACAATGAATTATTTTTCAGCCAATGCCATTGTATCATCCATCGGTTACTTTCGCACAAGTAGTGCCAAATCTGCCATCGAAAGGACGTGAATTGCTTCAGGTTTGAATTGTTCTTTGTTTCGTTTCTTGTGATTTCTTGATTTTGAAACATTCATTTCACTATGATCACTGAGCTCATAAAATGTCNAGAAGGACACTCCTCTGTTCTCCCTTCCTCCTCACATTTCCTCTTACAAACATTTCGTGTTTATTTTGCATGTGTCATTCGTTGTTTTGCAACGAACTGTTTCTGAAGCGGTCGAATGTTTTTTTTTTAGTAAACGTTGAAAATTTCAGCGTCTACTTGTATGCAATCCTGCTCATCGTCTCGATGCTGAAAGTGCATTGTGCCATCCATACTTCAGTGATGTTTCGGAATGTTAACTTGTTCGAAACGATATGAGTATCCTGAATGAATTCATGTGAAGCATTATATCATCATGATCAATTTATTCCGTTTCACGGCGAGAAACTGTGATTTTTGCTGTCATTTTTGAAGCACTCATAGTGCCCAAATGGTTATTTTGAATAGCATATCAATACTTGATGCAGTGTTACCAAAGAATTACAACAAAAAACAAATACCATCTTCAAGTTATTTGTTCTCCATTTCACTTATGCAAAAGTTTATCTTTTTGCATTTTGTAAATAGACATCATTTTATATCTTCTAATGACCAGAATGCCATTTTCTTGAAGTAACTTGAAGAAATAGATGGAGACGATTTCTTAATCAGTTTGAAAGTTCATGTTTGTGTAGTTCTTCTCTTGAATCCATTCATGCAATCGATCATTCTGATGAATATTTCTGATTATTCCGTATCGGCTGTTTCGCAACGTTTCTCTCAATATTCCTTTCGCATTCTCAAGGTTGTTAATGTTTTTTGTGATTTCACATCAATAAAAAGTTTGATCTCATCGACGCTTTCCACACACTGTCACCTTTTTGCTTAATTTCTCTACACCATTAGCAACTGGGAAATGAAACTGATTGTGTGCATTCAGAGGCTCACACTCAATAAAATCCTTGACCCATCAATTTCACGTCCTTCTGCTCATTTTGTTGTTTCAAAGACATACTTTCACAGTCAAAATATTCAAATAGAAATTTACTATTCAACATTTAACAAATACGTTTACGAGGTGCGCCGAACGAGCAATGGGTGTGAACTATTTATAAAGCGATTTCGTAGTAGATAGTCAATGGGTGTGCACTGACTTGAGGCAGTACGGAGACACAGAGTCTATTTTTCTTCGTTCAATTTCTCCATTTCCGATCGCTTATGGATGTATTTCTAATCGGCATAATAGCTCTTCCATGACAGGCGATAATATTTCATTTGATACTGAAATAGGTGAAGGAATCGATTGATAATGACATTCAATAATCGAATGTTGGACATCTTCAGGGAGATGTATGGGCCAGCAAGCCATCTAATGACTCACCTGTCCAACATTCACGATCATGAAGGAATCGATTGATAAAGACATTCAACAATCGAATGTTGGACATCTTCAGGGAGATGTATGGGCCAGCAAGCCATATAATGACTCACCTGTCCAACATTCACGATCACAGTTAATGTTGTTACCCGTAATTTCGGCCCTTATCTCCGATTACGGGTTAGTATCATGCAAAACAACATGCGCTGGTTAGTGGTGTTAGAGAGACAAGGACATGGTGCATGCAAGACAACGGACGAATGGAGGATGTAGATATTTACTGCATGGCATTGCACTGTGCCATCAATCCTGGCAATTTTTATTAACATTATTTTTCAATTATGTTAATAAAATCAATTATGTTAATAAAAATTGCCAGGATTGATGGCAATTTGAATCATTTTTGAAAGATGTTAATTTTAAAAAAATGCCATTTTTGAATGGCGTGCAAAATTTCAGTAAAACACATGGAGGCAGAGTGGCTAGCACCGGATAACTAAATAAAAATTTTTCAATTATGTTAATAAAAATTGCCAGGATTGATGGCAATTTGAATCATTTTTGAAGGATGTTAATTTTTATAACATTATTTTTCAATTATGTTAATAAAAATTGCCAGGATTGATGGCAATTTGAATCATTTTTGAAAGATGATAATTTAAAAAATGCCATTTTTGAATGGCGTGCAAAATTTTAGTAAAACACATGGAGGCAGAGTGGCTAGCACCGGATAACTAAATAAAAATTTTGATTCCTTATCTGCTGGATGATTCCTTATCCTTATCTACTTAACAACTGAATAAAAATTTTGATCATTCACCCCTATCGGTTAATCTTTCTAAAAATGATCAATTTTTTCATCAATAAATTCGATAACTTCCGAACATTATCAATTTTTCGATGATGTCTTATAACTTCCGAACATTATCAAATTTTCGATGACGTTTTATAAATCCAAAGGAGTTTATCAATTTTTCGATGATGTCTTATAAATCCAAATGAGTTGAATTTTCCAAACTCATATTATGATGAGGTAATGAAATTATCTAAATCATCTGAACCAAAAGGAGTTGAATTTTCGAAACTCATATTATGATGAGGTAATGAAATTATCTAAATCATCTGAACCATCATCATGTAATAATATCTCTTAGTTAGGAATATGACTAATGAATGTAAAATACAAAAACTTACTAATACCTCATTCGAATGCAATTGTTCCAATAATATTATCAGAGTAATTTCTTCACTAAATTCTTCAGAATACAAACTGTTCTTCTGGTTTGTGATGTTGGGCTGTCATCTGAATGATAAATCTGATTCTGAAAAATCATTAAGACACCATTAATAGTAGCACTGAATTGTGCTACAACATAAATAATGACTCGACAAC